ATATTTGTAAAATCTAAGTGACTCGTACAACATGGAATTCATATAAAACGGAATTATCAACAGTGTTATAGGGGGGTCGACTTGTATACTGTTTATCGAAATGTGTAGTGTTTTGGAGTCTGGAAACAGATTTATTCACTTTCCATTATTTCTGATGGAGAACAATTATTTAGAATTTCTTTTTATTTACACGTCCAAAAAGTACATTTGGTCGTCAGGTCGCGCGCGACGGCGGGAAATTCGACAATGGCAAAATCCGGGTGATAAACACGCACGTGACGTAAACGAGGCAGAAAGTACGATCGGACGCACGTATATATACACACGGGGGGCGACGCGACGCTTTAATAAAAACTTAAATACAATAGAACTCTGGTCGCCCGGTTATAAATAAATTAAAAAAATCTATGTAGAGAACTTCCGGCTCTAAAATATTTTAAATTTATAAAAACAAAAAATAATAATAATTAATAGCCATAGAACTAACAATAAGAACAATTGCGCTACACTTTAGATCAGTGCGTGTGTGTGTGTGTTTGTTTGTTTGTGTGTGTATGTATCGACGGTCGAGCCGACTCCAACCCGGGAAAATTCACTCCCCCCGAGGTTCCGCTGCTCTGGAGGCAGAACCCCTACGTCAGAATCCAGAGGGGGTACAGATTCAGGTGTAAGGTCTGGTCGAATATTTATTCTCTTCGGGCAAATCCAGTCCGCTCTTCAGGGTTCGACGAACTGAAATTGTAAATTGGACCCGTCATTAATGAAAAACTGTTATTTTCAGAACATCCTAAAATCTACATTCTACCAGTGCACGTCACTAGTATTGTGTTTGAATGACGTCTAAGTTAATATTTTGAACTCACGTGACTTTCTATCGCCGTAACGAGCCTTCTTCCTGACTCTGGGTTCCGTTCGGGTGGGTTGCGTGGTGGCAGTCTTCACCAGACTCTCAAGTATTTCGTCATCTGCATCAGTCAGATTTTCGTCTCTGAGGACGGGTCCGTGTCTTCCGGGTTTATGTCCCACACCTCGGAAGAAAATTTAAATATTGAAATATCGTAAAAAAAGTATATTACGTCACAAAATAACTTCGCTTAGGATCGCTTGGCGTGTGACTTATGGTGGTGATCATGCACTCCCGATATGATCTGTGGTCTGCAGTGGCACATTATAGCTTCGTGGGGCAAATTTGAATTAGGGAGTTCTGCGCACAGTGTTGACTTCGTTCGGGGGATTCAAAAATTTTCCCGGTATCCTGGTTCGTTTTTTTAACGCGGCCTTTGCGCTGTGCCAGTGCACCCCGCGCTTGTGCCAAATTGGCAATCTAGGATCCCCGGATATGGCCGGAATTTAAGTTTCGATATTCTTACTACAGTATTGACTTTATAAAAGATTAGTCCGGCCCTCCTGTTGATAGGGGTCCCCGGGCAATTATTCTTTTCGTCCATAGGATAACGTGCCACTGGTGGTCTGCCGCTTAACATTTCCGAGTTTGCAGCGACACAAATTTGTGTTACAGACAAATCGAATTCGTTTGAGTCTTAGGAACAGCTACGACCTCTACTTACCAGGAACGAGTTTCGGTCGCCCTTTACTTCCGGGTAACATTTTATCCCACTTGTGTGACCTGGATTCTTCGTTTTCCACGTTTCCGTTCTTCAGGATCTGCCTGAGTTCCCGGTCAGCCTGCTGCTCTTTGGTTCGGAATTTTGGCGTCTGTTCGAAATACAACAAAAATTGGAATTGGACCAACGGCGGACAATCGGAAAACGTCAGAAAGGAAGCGATCAATTACTTCGGTAATCATTTTTCCTCTGGTCTTGTTACGTTCGCGGTGACTTGCTTTTTTCTCCATCTGCTGGATCACCCTTTCTCTGGTCGTCCTGTATTCCAGAGCGAATTCGCATATAATTTTGCAGATGTGATTGACTTTGACGTCTTTTATGGTGTGAGCGACGAAACCGAAATACACCAGCAACTTATAGAACCTGGATAAGAAGATAACGGTGGAAATCGAATTCGGAATCCACGTCGCCTTTCGACAGATATTCACTATTCTGGATATTTGCGTGGATAGCCTATTTACTTACCTATTAAGTACTCTCCTCTGGATAATTCCTAAGATGATGATCCTTTCCGCGCACTCGGCTAAAAATTCCGCCATCCTAAATGGAAAAGTAAATAAATGGTCAACTGGAAATGTGTCCAGCGATCCTCTCGTATTTCGAAAGGAAAAATGAGCGAAAGAATGGCTATTTTCGAGCCTAATGATTAGTCTGGAGTGATACGAGCGGTGCCAAGTTGGCGCGATGTCCTCCACAGTAAGCACCTAGGAGACGACGAACCAACAATTTCGACCACTCGACTGACAGATAAAAAAAAAAAAAGTAACTACTCACTTGACTCTCATGGAGGTGGAGCCGTCGTGCTTGGCGATTACTTTCAGATAGTCCCAAGATGCCTTGCACTCGTTCTCCATTTTAGTTAAATTCCTGTTCACCTCGTCGAAATCCACCTGAAACAACGAAACAGTCAATACTTCAAAGTCTTAGTCCGTGACATTTTTGACACGGAAATAGGATTTACCTTCGATGCTCTGGCCACAGAACCCAATTCCGAATACAAGTCCGTCGAATTAGGGAACTTCTCCATGACGAACTGGCACAGATGATGAAGAAGAGAATGCTTCTGGACAGTGTCTTTCACTTCGGGAACCTTTGCTAAATATTCTATGTTGAAGCCCCTGGCCTGAAAATGTTTATACCAATTGTAAACAGGGTAATATTTGAATAACTGTTAAGCCAGATTAGTACACGTGGGTGGATTAATACTCCCTCACCAGAATTTATTATTATTATTATTATTGACTTCATACATTTTTCTACGTGTGAGAAGTTTTTTGGGAAATATTTTCTTATAAAAGATTGGTTTGAGGCACCCTGTCGTTGACAGTCCTAGGCAATTGCCATTTTTGCCCATAGGATAACGTGCCACTGAACATTACTTACCTCCACTCCATTTAAAAAGTTGCCAATGGAGAGAAGTGTTGCCAAAATTGACCGGAATGTTTGGCTCTTCTCTATTTCTTCAACTCCTTGTTTCAGATCCATCAATGGTTCCACAACTTCCTAATATATAATAATCAATTATATGTAACGGTGCAAAGTACGTACAGCAAAATACCAATAGGACTTTTAAGAATTCACCTTTTCCATAGTGTCGTAGTCCAGGCGGAAAGCCCACAACTTCAACCTGGCTTCTAATTCGTTAATAGAAGATAGAATGAGCAGACATTGCTCGGCGGAACCCAGAGGTACGTCCGGATTGGCCATTTGAGCTTCTGTTATTTTCGTTTTCTCCTCTTCTGTCGGCATCATGGTCGTCAGAATTTTCTATTTAAATACATAAATAATTCTAAATTCTATTGAATTATTGTGGTTATTCTCTTTCAACAAGGCATTTGCTTGTCTATTTTGTTAATGGAGTTTTCTTCGAGTGTCTAACGTCTAAATAGGAGACAATTCCTGTATAAAGTCTTACTGGGAGGCACCTCACTGAAATCGCCCGTGGACGATTGCAAAGGGGGATGCCTCCTGGGTTTAATATCATACAACAATGCATCCTTCCCTTACAAAACGCCCGTGGGAGGTTGCTAAGAGAGGATGCTTTGTTGTACGATATTAAACCACACCGTAATTAGAAGGCCTCCTGTTTTAGTAACGGGTACTTCGAGAATATTTTCGGAATGCGGAGAAACAGAATAAAATTACTACTACTAAAAAGACAAAGGAAGAACTCATTACTTCGATTCCTTCCCTGTTCATGATGATGCTGTCCATTTTGAGAATGGCCGTTTTAATGGTCCTCGGAGGCGGAAGCTTGGTCAGACCGATGTTGATGGCATTCGAACGTTTCGTATCCAATACTACAATTTCGTTCTTTTTTCCGCTCTCTTGAGTTTTCTAAATTAAAAAAAAAGTATTTTAAATTCATTCCATTACAGAATAAAGCGTTCATTTAGATGCCAACTACCCAGAAAATATGTATTAAGTTGCCCCATTGGTGCACATTTCAACTACCGTAGCTAAAATACGACAATTTTTACCGCAGTAAGAATGGGGATTTTTAAAGAGGGACGTCGTAAAGCGAAGTTCTAACGTATTGCAAATTTCACGAAAAATCAGGAACCCCGAAAACATTTAAATTTATTAAATTCGAACGGTTTAATTAAGCGCTAGTTTTAGAAAGATTCGTAAATGAATAAAACTAATTAAAGAAGTTATTTATATAAAACTTGTTAATTACATTGAGTGGAAAATTCTCTTACCTCCTAGACACGAGAAAATGTCGAAATGTCAGTTGGTGTGGGGGCGTAAATGGCAGCAAATATCCAAGAGAAAAATTAGACCAATTAGAAACCATGCATTTGTTTATTTTATATTCCTGCAAATTCTTCTTTACAGTTTTATATCGATACAGTATACTCTTAATCTCCCCCGATTTACGGTTTTATTTACGTAAAATTGGGTTTATATTTTCTATAACTTATTGCCTGGTACGAAAAAATATATAAGCTATATTCGAGAGTCGTGCAGCCATTATTTCTGAGGATCCGTGTTAAGTGGGTATGACAATAAAAGCAGTTCTCTCTTAGCAAACCCATTACAGGTTCGGCCAGATTCACGGGTGATGAGGGACGGATCCGACATATCCGGACACGTCACCCAGGAAAAATTCCTGGATCCTTTCGTATTCCGGGTCCTCCAGAGTGGTGCCCACTATTATCCGAACGAAAACCAAAAAACACTGGTGGTTTGGTCGTGGGCCTGGCTGTGTGGAGTTTTCGGTGTAGTTTCTCATAAAAAGTCCTCCCCTCGGTAGATTTCTCAAGTGCCACGTTGCCGAATACAAATAAACCAAACCTCTACAGTGGTAGAGTGCCAAATTAACTACAGTTGACCCCCCTATAACACTGTTGATTTTTCCGTTTTATATGAATTCCACGTCCTACG